GGTGCCCTCAGGCTGTTGCCTCTTCCCCCTTCCCTGTGAAACCAGGCTGGCCACATGACTCACCTTCTCTCCCTTGTCCTCCTTGTCGCTGAAGAACCAGTTGGACTGTGGGGAGATGACAGGAGAGGGATCAGAGTGTGGGTGAGGCCACAGGTCAGGGTCTTTGGGGAACAGTTGCCCTCAGAAGCCCCTCCTAAAGTACCCCTGCCACAGCCCTCACCCACCTCCCCTTGTGCCTCCATACGTGGCTCAGCCCTGACTAACAGTCCACTCACCCACCAGTCAGACCCCCTCTGTGCCCCTATGCATCCCCCACATACCAACACACTCTTGCTTCTGCCCTGCCCCTGCTCCTATCTTTCCCTATCCCTGGTTTAGGCCATGCTATGCTCCCCACCTCCCACCACCCACCCCTGGCTTTGCAGTGTTTGGGGATGGGATGGGGCCTGCACACAGATCCCTTACATGCTGGATGAGGGTTTCCACAATTTTGTAGCGGTCTGGCATGTGTGTCACCATGTCTGTCATGTTGTCCTCAGATGTCCGGACTAGCGTTGGGCCAAACACTAGAGCCAGGTTCCTGGGCTCCATCTGCAACAGGACATGGGGGTTAGAATGCCCTGGCCAGCCCCCCCTTAGTCACCCCTGGCAAGGTGAGCCAAGAGGGAGGACTTGAGCAAGAGAATCTAACTCCACAGACAGCCTGGGCTCAGGGCAGGAGGGGACGGCCATGCAAACACCACCCAGTCCTTCCCTCTGCCCTGTCATGGCCCCTTCTCACCCACTTTCATCACATCCAACACAGTAATTGCACTAGCAGTCACTGCTGCAGCACTGGGCAGCACAAGCCCATGCTGCCTCCCTCTCTAGTGAGCTTTCAGGCCTTGCTTCCCTGTCCAGAAAGGCACGGCAGGGCTGAGGCTCACACTCCTGCTCTCTCACAGACCTCCCATATGGGTATGTCCCTCTGTTGCCCCATGCGCTGCATCCACATGACAAACGTGGAAGAAGCATATATGACAGACGTGAAGCCCATGGCCTGCCATGAGCTCAGGTGGCTGCAAAGCACTGAGGGATCTCTTCCACACGATAGTATGTGGTGCTGCTCTAGAAATTCACTTCCAAACCCTCCTGGACACCCTTGCATGGCTCCCTAGCCCTGTTCTCCCCTGCCAGCCCTGCTGGGAGAGGCCCCATGATCCTGAACCCATGGTCTCCAATGCTGGGGACCCGCTCCCTAGACCAGCCTCTCTCAACCCATGGGTCATGACCCAAAAGTGGGTCACAAGAATATGAAAAGGTCACAAACAAACTTTAAAAATGGATTCTCCTTTAAAGGAAAAAAATGTGGGAAACCGCAGCTTCTCCCTTGCAGGCTGGCAGAGTTCCAGCCTGCAAGGGGCTGCTTGGGGCCCCCCTCATGCCTCCCACCTGCTCCACACACCCACCCCCTGCCCCACAAACTGGGGGGCTGGGGCCTGGGAGTGGGGAGCAGTGGGTCAGGAGTGAGGGGCACTGGGTCAGGGCTGGCCATCAATATTTACAAATGAGTCCTGGTCCAAAAGAGGTCGAGAACCACTGCCCTAGAGCACTGGACTTGACTGTGGAGGCCCATGGGCTCGCTGCCTCTTGGAGCCAGTTAGTAGCAATGGTACCTTGTTCTTCTCTGAGTGATCAGCGATTGTCTTCAAGTGCCCCACAAGAAACTTGAGTGTCTCGTAGTAGTGTCCTGGCAGGTCCCGGATCTGCAGGGCACAGAGCTGCCATGTGAGAGCTCTGCCAGCCTTGAAGAGGCCTGGCACCCCCTGCTGACCACAGCCCCACTCATAGCTCCACTGTTGATCTTAGCCCCATTACTTTCTTGCTGCAAACCCTCCCCATCCTGGTTTGGCTCCCTCTGCACCCCAGCGCTGCATAAAGCATCTTCCCCAATCTCCCCAGAAGGGAGATCACAGCCAAAGCTGCTTCTAGACCAGCTCAGGCAGCTATCAGAGAAAACAAGGACTAAGGCAAATATCCTCCTCCAGCTCCCAGAAAGGCCTGGGATCCCCCCATGATGATATGGCTAAACCCAGAAAGAGAAGGGGAATTGTTTCTGGATGCAGGTGGCACCTCCTCTCTGCCCAGGGGAGTGGGGGTGGTCCTGGTGATGGCAGAGGGCTCTTCCCACCCCGCAAGGTTCATTCAGGGTCCGGTATTCCCATACCAGTTTCCGCAAGGTCCTCATCCTCTCACTGGCATCTTCTATCCGGTTGGCTTCAATGAAGTCGTTGTACTTATCTGAAAGCCAGATATGCACCCAGCAGGCTCAGCAGTGCTGCCAGGAAAAGTACAAGTGCTGCCCTCCCACACCCTCATTATACCTGGAGACAGGGATCAAGGGCCTGGCAGGCAGGCTGTGTGCCTGCATGGGCATAGGTATGCACAGAATACAGGCAAGGACAGAAGGCTGCAGCACAATGAGGGGGCTGGCTGCAGGTAGCACGGGCAGACAAGGGAGCAAATGGAAGGGTCTGGGCAATGGATAGACAGAGGGAGGGCTCAGCGACACAGACTAGTGCAGAAGGACAGCTGGAGAGGAGCAGGTAGAGGGAGGATGGGGGACAGACCACCCAGGGGGGTGGTCAGACTGAGGCACAAATAGGGACCTGCCAATTCAGAGGGGGCAGGTTGGACGCTGGACCTTTACAGAGTAGGGCAGGCAGGTGACACATAAGAACCTAGTGACAAGGGAAGAACAGGGCACAGACAGGCAGAACTGGCTGAAAAGGACACCCTTCCCCAGGATAGGCCCGGGCCCCAGAGTAGGATCCTGTCCTAGAAGAAAGCACTGAGCTGCACTCCCCTTTTGTAGACAATGAGATACCCATGGGCTCAGGCTCAGCACGGGTGCAGCAGCAGCAAATGCAGAAAGGCCACAAGGCCCAAGGTTTTTCCAAGAGGAAATGAAGAGAGGGAGGGGGGGTCAGCTGGGAGTGTCCAGCAGAGTGGGGGTCCTTCTGGGTCTCAGGCCACAGGCAACCATGGTTCTCCAAGGACCATACAAGAGCCACCCAAGGACCAAGCTCTGGTCTTGCTGGGCCGTGATTCCACAGAGACAGAGAGAGGGTTGCATCTGGCAGGGAAAGCAGGATGCCAGCATACAGCTCTTCAACCGTGAGGGGCACATACCCGTGTACATACAGGGAGTGCAAACCCAACTCACCATCTGTGAACAGGGGCTCCGGGAGCTTTCGGAAGAAGGATTTCAACAGGCTGCTGATGACATTCAGGTCCTGCCACCTCTGTTGCGGGGAGAGAAGGAGACACTCAGAACCAGGGGAGGGTGATGTGCCTGAGGTGGGAAGGCCAAAACCAGGCTAAGCTTACATCGGCTGGGCTGCCCAGCACTGTCGGGGGAAATTGCTGAGCCCAGGGCTTGCGAGACACCCCAGGGACTTGCACTTGGGGCCAAGCTAAGTGGAGAATCTGCTACACTCAGACAGAGAAGACAGCCTGAGCACGGGCCCTTCTCCCACCCAAAGGCTAGAAGGAATTCCAGCAGAGTTGCAGCTGGGATGGCTGTTTGGGGCCAGAACCTGAGATCCCCATTTCAAATGCAGGAGTGGGAGCCCCCAGCCCAGCTGGGACATAGGCAGTGCACAGGAAAAGAAGCAGGTGTCAGCAGCACAGCAGTGGGGCTGACACCAACCCACTGGCAAGCACAGCCCACTGGGGAGAGGTCACTAGCCAAAGGCAAGACAAAGTACACCCCTGCCACACACACACACACATGCCATGGGCACTCATATGCAAGCACACACACAAGCATGTCTGCACATACACACACACCACTTTCTATTCCTGTCACTGCTCCCTCCTTCCTGCCCTCTCAGTGTGTGCTTTGCCGGCCCTGTGTGTGGTTGCTTGTGAAGGCTCCATTTCTGACCAGCCACGTGCCACAGGACAGGATGCTGCCGCTGGACAAGGAGCATGTTGGGCAGGGGCTGTGCTGGGCCAGGGGACAGCCAAGATCTTGCCAACTCTGTACCTCATCCTGCAGGTTGATCTCAGTGGCCCCCTTGTTGAGCTGCTCCTGCAAGCTAGACACCATGGCGTTGTTACCCGGCACCCGGTAGATGCCCATGTACTCGAGGCCCTTGTCTTCCACCACTTTGCAGCAGGCCTCCACGATCAAGGGAATGTTCTGCAGGGAACAGAGATGGCCTGAAGGAGGCAACACTAGATGGGAGATTGGGAAGGCCTGTGTGGGAGGGGGCACACTTGGACTCACAGCTGCTGCATGTTAAAGGAGGTGAGTCAGGGAGACAGTTGGAGGCTGTGGCTGCCAGATGTGAAGTGGGCAGGGGGATTCGGACAGACACAGCCGGCACTGGGGCTGACAGGTATTAAAAAGGCTGTGTCAGACATGGGCACAGCTGGAGGCTGCAGCTGCCAGATGTTAGAAGAGGCATGGAGCAGGGGGGGAGGGAGCGAGCAAGCTGCAGCTGCTAGATCTACCCCAGCCAAGAGGTAGTGAGGGCAGTCAATTCCACCTTTCCACACTCATTCCTATCAGGACAAACCCAGAGCGGATGGGAAGGCAAGGCTGGAGGTAATGATCAGCTGGACCTTTTGGGAACAGAGGGCAAGGGGCAGAGCAAAAGGCTGTGGCTACTGCTAGCTAATACTGCCCAACTCATCACATAGATGAATTCCCCAGAAACAATAGCTGTGGCCAGGCCAGAGCTTCCTAAATTATCCCAGGGAAGCCCTGTTCAATTCCTCCTCCTCATGACTGTATGGAGCTTCAGCCCATGGGCCTTGGCACAAGAGAGGGGGGAACAGAGGACTGGAGGGGGTCCCCAAGGTAGGGTCCAACCCCTGACAGTCCCAATGACAGAGGAAGGTGCTCTGTGCCACTAAGAATCTGCTGCTGGCAGTACCCAGCTTGGCTGGGTTACAGCTAGTTTTGGTCTGTCTGCTGGAGCTGTAGTCACTCCCCAGGCATGCCCACTGCCTGCCTGAGTCTGCAAACAGCCTGACTCCAGCACTGGGACAAGCAGATGCCTGCCCTCAGCTTTCCAGGGATCTAAACTGGAGGTCTAATGATGATAAGTACCATTAACTCTTTCATAGTGGACAGACCCCTGCCCTCATCCTGCCTGTGCAGTGGGAAAATAGCAGGCTGTCACAGCAGCACTGGCTCCCTCCTGGTGCCTAGGACAGATGTGGGTCTGAATTATATACCTTATTGTCTGGTGCGGGCTGGCAGTCCTCAAGCCTCACTCCAAAAGCCCGTGGGGCAGATTTCTTGTTCTTTTTCATGATGTTAATGCCCCATGGGGCTTTCTGGGAGCCACTCTCATCTGGAAACAAAACACAGAGTTGGTCATCAAAGAGCCAGACCCAGGGAAACAGATACCCATAGTACCACGTACCCTGACAGGGAGAGTCACTCAGCCAGGGCACACGTCACCCAATGCCCTCACTAAAGGGTCTTCCCACAACATGCACATCCATTCTCCCTTCCTTGCCCCCTGCCTCACTCGGACATACCCCACTGACCCTCACACCCATCTCCTCCTGCACAACATGAACTCCTGGCTTTGAGGCAGCCCCTAAGAGACCTACCCCCACACATACACATGCATGTGCTCTAAGTATATCTAAGCTGGCACAACTTAGCACAGGCTAAAAACCATCTGAGAAGCCAGGCAGGTGAGTCCATGCTGAGCTCCATGCTGCTGCAGCTAGGTCACTGCCAATGCCTGAGCTGGGCGGGTAGCTGTACGCTGCACTGTAGTCTTCCTCTCGGAGATATACAACCCCTGGCAACCCATACCCACCATTAGAGGTGCCAGTGTGTGGACATACCTTTAGTCACAGCCATGTCCTGCCTTGGAGATCGGGGGGCGCATGTGCCCGTTTGTTTTAGGAACTCCGGTTTGATCCCCAGCCCACGAGACCCTTTGGGGGATGAGTCTGGCTTTGTCCCTGGAGGGCTGTGGAGAAAGCAGATGGGACTCTTAACCCAGACAGCCCCTACACTGGAAACCCTGCCCCCTGGCCTTTCACCCTCAGCCAAGCAGAGCATGCTGAAGGCAGGCTGAACCACAGCCACCTCTGTGCAGCATGGCCAGGTGCTGAGAGCAAAGCTGCAACACAATGCATTCTGGGAGCAGCCACAGAAATTAAAAACATTGAGAACCACTCACGGGGTGTTTACCCATAATGCTCAGCACTGCACTCGCCTCCCCCTCTTAATCATGTAGCCAGTGAATGCCAGGTCTGCCACTGTTCCCTGCTGTCCAACCCTCCTTAGGGGGCATCTGTCCACAGGAGATGCAAAGCTGCAATCCCCATGACCTGCCTGCACGGTGTACAAGGTCCCTCTCTGCCTGGGTTAACAACAAGCCAGATTCTACCTCCCTGAGCACAGGCAGGCACAGCTGCCTGCCCAGCCTTCTCCAACCCTCTCACAAAACCTGGGCCCCAATAACCTGCCCCCTGGCCTCGCCCCTCCCCTGCCTGGTTTAATGAGAATCAAGCTTGCATTGATCCAGCAGACTCAGCACAGGACCCCGCCAGGGATGCACTTCACATGACTTAGGCCTTGGCTCACAGCATTGAGCCCAATCTGGAATGGCCCTGTGGAAGCTGAGCCAAGCTCAGCACTTAGCCGGTGGAAGTGCTGCTCCAGGAGGGAACTGCCCCAGTTCAAACGAGGCCTTACATCAATCCACTTCTCTGGCAGGGACTGCGCTTAAGATGGATTCATAAGACCCAGAGCCTTCCAAGAGCTATGGCTCATTTTACAGGCAGGGATGGAGTCACGCAGCGGTTAAGTAACCTGTCGGAGGAAACCCTGCCAGAGAGCCCTGGCGACTCTGCTCGGACCGCCCAGCATTCTTCAGTGGTTCTCTACCAGGGAACACTACGAACACAGCTGCTCCCATCTATGGAAGTCTTTTAACTCAGCTATGTGTTGTTCCTCCATGGCCCCGGGCACCACTGGGAGGCGACCAAAGTCTGTATCTAATGCAAGTTCCCTCGCAGGTCCCTGAGGACCAGAGCTGTGATCTCCTCCCCATTATAGATGGAGAACTGGAGAACAGAGGCTGAGAGAGACTCAAGGATATGCCCAAGTTCACATGAGCAGATGTCTGTGGCAAAACTAGCCCTTGCACTAAGGCAGCCCTAGTGCCAGGCTCGCACTCCACCCACTAGCCGTGCTCTGTCCCGACAGGCCAGGCAGAGGTTCAGGGATCCTTACTTCACTTTCCGGTAGTCGTTCAGCTTCTTGTTGATAAGTGCTTGGCTTGCAAAGCTGGGGTCCTGGAGAGGCACAAAGACAAGAGGGAGGGGAGAGCTTGAGCATATCATGCATGGTCAGACCCAAAGGAGTGCACTCTCATCCATGAGCCGAGCCTTACACCAGGCCTCATGCCAGGGCCAGGAGGTCCTCCCCAGATGCAACAGCCATGAGATTTTGCCCCCCAATGCTCCTTGTTGATGGGCACCTGTTGTCCATGAGAAGAGAACGTTGATGGCCTCCCTTGTGCCACCTGCAACTGGGCAGGACTGAAAGAACGGTACATTTGGGGCACTAGGCCTGCAACGCAGTCCAGCCTAGAAGCACCTGGCCCCTGATGGGGCTCTATCACTGTTGAGCCCATGCCCTATCACAGAGATCCCTGCTGGTATCAAAATCTCAGCCTTGCTTCGCATGGCTGAGCCAGTGCTGATCAGCCACAGGGGTCACTGGGTGAACACACAAACACATCTCACCGGCCTGAGCAAATTCCTGCCACAGGGCACCTCATGCCTTCCCCTGCCTCTGGAGGACACGCACAGTTCCCAGAGATCTGCATCTCCAGGAGGGGAGCGTTGGTAGGCAGGGCCAAAGCTCCACCCCTCATTACTCCAGTATCCCAAGGGCCCAGTCTCTGGGAAATCAGCATCAGTCCCTGGGCATGGCCCTCTCTGCCTGGCTTCAACATCCTTTGTGCCCATTCAACTGCCCAGTTCTTAAAAGCAGCTTAGCCTGGGACTAGAACCTGGATCCCTGCACTGAGAAACAGGGGAGGCACATCTCATACCACTGACTCCTGCCCACAAACACCATTATAGCATCATTACAACAACGATGGGTTGGGGTAGGCCTTCAGATGCTGGGATTTCTGGTTCTTCTACTCTCCATCAGTGCTGGGGAGATATAGGATGCCTGGAGGGTGCACGTGGCACAGTGGGAGGACAACTACAGCATGTTCTGGACTGGGATCCTCCAACCCCTCCTTACAGCACAACCCAAGATGGGCACAGACCTTCCAGCATCTTCCACCCCTTCAATGCACACCAACTTTGGCAACATCACAACCCCAACAAGGCGCCCAAACTGGTCATAAGCTATAGCGCACATCGCATTGCTATGGCCTGCCCCAAGATGGGCAGACACTGAGAGCACCTTGCACCCCTACAGGGTACCCTGAGCTGGACACCGAATTGTGGGGAACACTGTAGCCCCACAGCACACCTGATCTGGGCATAGGTTTTACAGCACCTCACACCATGACAGTAACCCCGCGCTAGGCAGGGATCACCGTGCAGTTTCCATACTTACAGCATGTCTTAGTTTGCACTCAGACCTAAGGACATCTTGTGGGCCTTAAGGCCAGCCCAAGCTTAGAGCTGCTCCCATGCCTCCTGTGAGCCTAGAACTAGAAATGGACCTTGGGGCAGCTCTCACACCTACAGTATGCTATAGCCAAGCAAGACATGTCTACAGCTGGGCACAGATCTCAGGGCAATTCCCACAGCTACAGGGCACCTACAGCGAGACACAGACCTTATAGCAGCTCCCACACCTACAGGCAGCCTGCAGCTGGGCATGGACCTCAGAGCACCTCCCACATCTACAGCGTGCCTACAAGCAGGCACAGACCTCAGGGCTCCTCCCAAGCATACAGTGTGCCTGCAGCTGGGCATGGACCTCAGGGCAGCTCCCATGCCTACAGCATGCCTGCAGCTGGGCACACATCTGAAAGCAATTCCCAGACCTACAGCATGCCAACAGCCAGGCACAGACCCCGAGGCAGCTCCCACGCCTATAGCTGGGGACAGATATCAGGGCAGCACCCACACCTACAGTGTGCCTACAGCTGGGCACAGGCCTGAAAGCAATTCTCAGACCTACAGCATGCCTAGAGCTGAGGACAGACCTCAGAGCAGCTCCTATGCCTACAGTTGGACAAGGACCTCAGGGCAACACCACCACCTACAGAGTGCATACAGCCAGGAACAGACCTCAGGGCAGCTCCCACACCTACAGTGTACCTACTTCTGGGCACAAAACTCAGGGCAGCTCCTGGGCTTACAGCATGCCTACAGCTGAATAGGGACATCAGGACAGCTCCCATGCTTACAGCATGTTTACAGCCAGGCATGGATGTGAGAGCAGCTCCCACACTTACAGGGCATCTACAGCTAGGCACAGACCATGGGGTAGTTCCCACACTTGCAGCCAACCTAGAGACAGGCTTGCACTTCAGGGCAGGACCCATGCTTACAGGGTTCTTACAGCTGGGTAGAGACTTTGGGGCAGCTCCTACACCTATAGCATGCCTAAAGCTGGGCATGGACCTCAGCACAGCTCCCACACCTACAGGGCATGTACAGCTGAGCACAGATCATAGAGCAACTCCCATGCCTACAGCTGGGCACAAACAACGGGACAGTTCACACATCTTCAGCATGTCTACAACCAGACATGAATCTCAGCAGAACTCCCATGCTCAGAAAGTACCTAAAGCCAGGCATGAACTCAGGGTAGCTGCCATGCCTACAGCTTGCCTAGAGCCAGGGATGGGCCTCAGGGCACCTCCAAACCTACACCATACCTACAGCCAGGCATGGACCTCAATGTAGCTCCCATACCTACAGTATGACTACAGCCAGGCACAGACCTTGGGCCAGCTCCCACGCCTACAGCCTGCTTGCAGCTGGGCAGACTTCAGGGCAGTTTCCATGCCTGCGACATGCCTACAGCATGCCTATAGCCAGGTACAGACCGTGGGGCAATTCCCAGGCCTACACTGCCTACAGCTGAACATAAATCTCAGGGCAGCCCCCGTGCCTTCACTGGGCGTGGACCACATGGCAGCTCCCATGCCTACAGGGCAGCTACATCTAGACAGACCTCAAGGCATTTCTCATGCCCCTAGTGTCTACAGCTGGGCACGGACCTCAGTGGAACTCACATGCCTAGAGGATGCCTCTATCTGGGCACAAACAGCTGGGCATGAACATGGGGCAGCTTCCATGCCTATATTTGGCCTAGAGTCAGGGACAGGCTAGAGTAAGAATACCTTAAAGCCTACAGTGTGCCTACAGCCAGGCACGGATATCAGAGCAGCTCCCATGCCTACAGGGTGCCCACAGCTGGGCACAGACTTTGGGGCAGTTCTCACACATACAGGACACCTACACCTGGACATAGACATTGTGGCAGCTCCCATGTCTACAGCATACCTGCAGCTGGCACAAGACCACTGGGCAGCTCCCATGCCTACAGCATGCCTACAGCCAGGAACAAATCTCAGACAGCTCCAATGCCTCCAGCATACATATAGCTGGGCATGGACAGCAAGGCAGCTCCCATGCCTATCAGGGACCTACAGACAGGCACAGATTACAGAGCAGCTCCCCCACCTACAGGGTGCCTACAGCTGGGCACGGATCTCAGGGCAACTCCCATGACTACAGGGCACTAAGTCAGGCACAAATTCAGGGTAGTTCCCATGCCTACAGTTCTCCTAGATGAGGGGTGGGCCTTGGGGCACCTCCTAAGCCTACTGGGTGCCTACTGGTGGGTACAGAACTTGAGCCAGGTCCCAGCCCTACAGCCAGGCACAGACCTCAGTGCAGCTTCCATGCCTACGGTGTGCCTACAGGAGGACAAAGACTTCAGGGCAACTCCCATGCCTACAGTGTGCCAACTGCTGGACACGGTCCTTGGGGAAACCTCCCATACCTATAGCATGCCTGTAGCCAGGTAAGGACTTCAGAGTAACTCCTAAACCTACATCATAATTAAAGCCAGCAATGGACCCTGGGGCGACTCCCATGCCTACATCATGACCGCAGCTGGGCATGAAACTTAGAGCAGCTCGCATATCTACAGTGTATATACAACGAGGTTTAGATCTCAGGACAGCTCACACCTCCAACATGCCTGCAGCTGGGAAAGACCACTAGCAAACCCCAAGCTTACAGTGTGGCTACAGCTGGGCACAGACCTCAGGGCAGTTCCCACACTTGTAGCATGCCTACAGCCAGGCATGCACCTCAGGGCAGCTCCCATGCTTACAGTGTGCCTACTGCCAGATACAGGCCTCAGTGCAGTTCCCATGCCTACAATGTACCTACAGACACCCACAGAACTCAGAGCTACCCTCAAACCTACAAGCCACCTACAGCTAGGCATGGACCATGGGGCAGCTCCCACATCTGCAGGGCACCTACAGCTAGGCATGGATCATGGGGCTGCTCCCACAACTACAGTGTGAATACAGCTGGGCACAGACCTCAGGGCAGTTCCTGTGCCTACAGCTGGGCACAGACCATAGAGTAATTACCATGCCTACAGCTGGGCACAGGCCTCAGGGCATCACCTACACTTATAGCATGGGAAAAGCTGGCACTTGCCTCAGGGCAACTCCCATGATTACAACATGCCTACAGCTGGGCATAGATTTCTACAAAGCTCCCTCACCTACAGAATACCTACAGCAAGACACAAACCTTGAGGGAAGCTACCATCCCTGCAGTGTGCCTACAGCCAGGGACAGATCATAGCATCATAGGAAGGTGGGGCTGGAAGGGACCTCACAATGTCATCTAGTCCAGCCCCATGCTCAAGGCAGGATCATTGCTGATTAAATGTTCCCAGCCAAGTTTCTGTCTAACACGCTCTTGAAAACTTCCAAGGATGGAGATTACACAGTTTCTTGAGGTAGCCTGTTCCGATGCTTGGCCACCCTCATAAATTTTTCCCTGCTACCACTTGGGGCCATTGTTCATAGTCATTTAACCTATAGCCATAGAGAAGAGCCTATCTCCATCTTCCCTGTAATTGCCCCTCAGGTATTTGAAGCGTTATCAAATCCCCCCTCAGGCTTCTCTTCTCCAAACTAACTAACCCTAGTTTTTTCAGGCTTTCCTCATAATTCTTGCCTCCCAGGCCCCTAATCATTTTTGCTGCTCTGCACTAGACTCCTTCCAAACTGTCCACATCCTTCTTCAAGAGTGAGTCCCAAAACTGGACACAACAATCCTAA